ACACAATCCAAAGGGGTTTCTGCCACCACACCTGCTGGAGGAAATGGGTCTTGAGAATTTCTCTTGAACTCTACGTGTTGTTTAAAAAAACACTGGATCAGCTAGAGAAGGAAGCCAACAAGTTCTTAAACTCAAGATCATTATTACTTTTAGTTTCTTTCTATGTGCAACTGATCTTTTCTGTGTTTACAGTCAAAATAAGTCCCATTTTTACTATAAAAAGAGGATACAAAGGTTGTTTCTGCCATAAGGTCAGAAAGGACTAGAAAAGAGAGTCTCTCTACTTTTATTTATATGCCTTATGGCAACTAGCACAGAATGAGGAACGACAACTCAAACAGGAGATCAGAACATGTCTTTAAATTAATTAATTAATAAAGTTGAGGAGATTTGGCAAATGACAAAAATAAAATAGCCTGTCTATCCCCAGTGGTTTCTATCTTCTTTGTATATTAAGAGGAGTTGAAAGCTGAGCACTGGTGGCTCATGCCTGTAATCCTAGCTACTCAGGAGGCTGGGATCTGAGGATCATGGTTCAAAGCCAGCAGGGCAGGAAAGTCCTTAACACTCTTATCTCCAAGTAACCACCAGAAAATTAGAAGTAGAGCTGTGGCTCAAAGTGGGGGAACTAGCCTTGGGCATAAGAGCTCAGGGACAGTGTCCAGACCCTAAATTCAAGCCTCAGGACTAGCATAAGAGGGAAAGAGGGATAGAGAGAGGGACGGGGAGAACTTGAGATAAAACCAAAGACCAAGTGTTATTTATATATTACTTATTACAGGTACATAGTAGCTACTCAGACACTTGTAAATGGAATAAAAAAAAAAAAAAACTAATCTAAACTAGTACAAGGCCCTGAGTTCAAATCTTTGAACAATCAAAAAAGTTACAGACTTGAAAGAATTTTAGATAACATCTTGATAAGAAAAATTATTTCTTCTCAAAAGCCTAATAGATTCTGAATAGTTATAAGTGTAAGAATAATCAACTTTTCTCAAGAGCTTAGCTAACTAAGATCCATATAGATATTGAAGAAAATTATAGAATACAACTATCTATAAAATTCTTTTCTAAAGACTAAAGAAATTCAATTATGTATCTCTTTTAACAACTGAACAACTTTATGATGTTGAACTCTCATGCTCATTCTGTTGACTCAAAACTTAAAGTATACCTGACAGAATATTTCATTATACTTTTGAACTCAATGAATGATATGCCATTTGGGAAAATTGGAAGCCATGGAAAAATTTCAGTTCTAGGTCATTTTGTTGTATGACAGTGCAAAATTACTAAAATCAACATATTTAATATATCATACTCAAATGGTATAATCTAAAACTGTTAAAATATTCTCACTTTCCTGGTTTTATAATACTGACTAGCATACTCATAACTATTGTTCTCCTACTTAGTGTTATAAATTTAGTATTAACTACCATTCAGGAACTCACTAATATTATAGTGAATCTTAAGGAAAAGTAAGATCTTTTAATGATGGGAACAAGTTAATGTGGTAGAAAATAATTCATTTGACTTTATAGTAGTATTTGTGTTAATACAATATATTTATTATACTCTAGTACATTTCTTTCAAGGTTAGCTAATGATAAGAGTTCAACCTCACTTAAAATTTTTGTTTTAAATAAACCCATGCTTATTTCTCAGGGATTCATTCCTTCATATAGCTAGTATTATTAAGTGCCTATAACATGCCAGATATTCTTTGATAGCCACTGTGGACCAGGAAGTACTCAGCTTTGAGTCCAGTATGATGATGTATTCTTGTAATCTCAGCTCTTGGAATTATAGGAGGATAAAAAGTTCAAGGCCACCTGGGCTACATAGTATGACTTTCTTTCAAAAGGGAAAACCAAACTTTTCAGCCTTCATGGAGCCTACATTCTAGTGGGGGGAACAGAAAATATAAACTTAGTAAGTTATATTGTATAAAGGGTGTTTAAGAATTTTTCATCATGAAATTAAGTTTAAATTTTATAACATCGATGATCTAGTCTTAGCTATACACAATGGCTGTCATTCCACATTGGACCTCCCTTCAGAGATTGAAAGGTACAGTTGTTAACTGTTTGAAATGAGCTTAGTAATACAAACCATCTTTCTGTATTTTATTGTTCTTTTTGAACTTATGTCCCATAATAGCTACCCTCCTCTCATTCAAAGCCTTCTGTAACCTATCCTTTCATTCTACATGTATCTAGCTTTCTCTAAGACCAGGCACACAGTATCTTGGTCAAGCAGTACTCAACATGCTAGAGATAGGAAGACCTATCCCTGTAAGTTATCTATAAAGGCTAACTACCTAAAAGGAGAAAAACAAAGGTAGATCAAAATTATAATTGAAAATCTAAAGTCTGCCAAGTATACTAGGCAGATCCAGAAAAAAGAATGATGATTTCTGCCAAGGGAGGCCTACTTTGGAAAGACAAGTACATGTAGGAAGGCAGAGAAGGTACAATGAGTGGCTCATATATATAGTACATATATCACAAAGTATATAAACTTGGGAGAGCAGGCAGAAATAGATTCTAAAAAGATAAATTTGGGAACAATAAAGGTGATGTTTGCATAGATGCCACAGTTGGGAGTGACATCCTTCATGGGAAGGATAGAAAGCAGAAGTAGAGGTAGCTTATGTGCAGATTTGAGTTGCAGCACTAGGCTCACTGTAAACGGTGAATGGGTCTCAAGACATAAGGGAAAGCATTTGAAGCAAGAATGGAGACTAAGCAGCAAAAAGGATAATATTAACAACCTATCCAGCAACTACCTACCTTTCATAGCTAGACAGAGCTCTCCATTCAACACTGGACATTCAGCCAACAGTAGACCATTCCATGTATATGCTACTCTCAATCTAGCAGTGCTTCTAAACCAAAGAGAGGAATTGCCACATGTATCTTAAGCAGGGTAAGATAGAGAATTTCCTCTTCATGTTAACTACCCATAACATGTGTGTTCCAGAATTCATACAAGACTCTATCTTTAACTATCACTGTCACTATCCTGGGGCACTAGAAAGTCAACAGTAAGAAGATACTACACCTGGCATCATCCCATGGATTATATATAGTAACACTGTTGTGTGCATATCCATCTCACCAGCTAATCTGGAAACTCTTCAAGAGCAGGGACTACCTAATAGTAGGCATTCAGTTAAGGCTGACAAACAAATAAATTAACCCATCAAATTTTGCTCTGGTCTAACAAAGAGAAGACATACCAATTGCTGCTATTTTATATCCTAAATTTTGACAGCACAAAGGCTGCTCAACTGGCTTCACACCAATACAAAATCCATGACCTGAACAGGCACACAAAATCAGACACCAGAATCAGAGGAAGACAATTTTCTATTTATTCATTTGATTATTGGTGGTGCTGGGGATCACCCAAGTCCTTAAACATGCTAAGCACATAGTACCAAAAAGCTTCATCCTCAGTCTATTAAATTTAATTTTTTAATGAAGTTTTCCCCTCCCACTAATTTTCTGAATGATGTTACAGGGCCAGTTTTAAGCACTTACATACACACAGACATGCACTCCAATTAAGAAATAAATTGTAACCCAAAATAATACTAGAATAAAACTTCCCAAAATCCTAAGAGCTAGAGTAAAATTCTACCCCCAAATAAGCAAAATAAATTCGCAGTTATGGTCAAGACTGAAATGTAACAGCCAAAAATGGAAGTTAAATTTCCCTTCATAAAGAAAGGGAAAATTTTAAAGGTAATATTAAATCAAAAAGTAAGTAATTGTTGACATGCAAGACTATTCCCCTGGGCAGGCAGTGCGTGGGCCTGTTCTTAAGCAGACACTGCTTGAGAACAGCTGAACACATTCATCTCCCAGGTAGCCAGTTCAACCCCTCCCTGAGGGCTCTGCACAGATGGCCTCCAGGGCTCAGACTACAAATGCTATGTTAGGTGTAGAAAAGATGATGATGAGATTTGTATAGAGAAATGCAAATGTGTCCCAGTCTAGACTGACAGTTCATGAACAAAGAAACTTCTCAAGTCAGCCCTTCTTATTTTATATTGTGTGTGGTATGTGGATTTGGGGAACTGGAGGAAGAGTCTTTTCTTGGTGAGATGAAGCAAACATATAGACTACTACAGCAGAGAACTAGCCTTTCTGGAATCCACAGAGGGTCTGGCCTTTTATCCCCAGCCCCAAGCCCATGCCTAGGCGCGGGTTTTGTCATGGGCGCCTCCCTGCTGTCCTGCTCCGGCTGCTCCACATGAGCAGAGAGAGACAGGAGGCAGGCCCCCCTGACACCTACTTAACTAAGGCAGATGCAGGGAAAGCGTGTGGGATGCCTTTACCTCCCCCTCAGGAGGTGCCCAGCAGGAGTTCACAAAGCCAGAAGCTCCAAAATCGGATTTCCACACCTCCTTCCACCTCAGAACAACGCCTTACCTCTCTAGCAGGAGGAAACAAAACATTAAGCAAGTGTTGTTCTGGTGTGTGAAGGGGATTTCAGAGGACCTGAGGAAACTTTCTTACAGGACTCTGCTTTTTTCTGCAATCTCTTTTGAGGCCAACTTGGGAAGCAGTTATGTACTCACTGACCCCAAGGGGATAAGGATGCTACTTCAAGGAGGCCACAATCAGCATCTGCAAGACATTTTGAGCTAGACACATACTTTGCATACACAAAATGTCCACAGAAAAGACAGACAGGCTAATTTCTGACAGCTCCAGATAACAGGAGGAGAAACTGACTCTCAGCTTCCACTACTCAGGAGCAACAGCTCTTCCGATCCAAGGGATGTGAGACAAATACATAAATACAATTATCTGCAGAGCTTCAAGTGCAAGAGCAACACTGGAAAGTCCTTCTCCCCAAATGCAGTGACTTATGGGAAACAGATAGGACAATAAAAAAGAACAGCTGGAAAACTTAATTAAAGAACAGCACAAAAATTGACATTGTTTTGTAGAACCAGCCAATAGCCAAAGTTTTTTACCCCTTACCTTAAGATACAGAAGCAGCTCTTGGCTCCTGAAGATAAGCGGCAGAACCCAAATCTCTGTTTGCTGTCAATGTCAGTGAGCACGAATGTGAAGTTCTGGCCAACTTGACTAACTGTGAGGCTGTAGTAAAGACAGAACAAAGAGAGAAATGAACACTCACTAAGTTTCTTGATAAGGTATCTAATCACCACAAGTCATTGAACTGGTAACATTTCCTCTCAAAGTGAAATTCTTCATAAATAAGTTTAAATTTTACTTCAGCGGAAGGGGGGGGGGGGGGGGGAGAGAAGGAAAGAGACAGCGGGGAAGAAACAACTAGGAAGCAGTCTGTTTGGGTGATCACCGAACATCAAACTAATCAGTATTTCATACCTTCCACTTACTTAGTTCAGGCCCTGAGGTGGCTTGGTTAACAACCACCAGTCCTGAAAAGAACATTCTACCCACCTCATGCATAATACAAAGAAAGGACAAGGACAAACATTGCCTAAAGTCAGCTAGTTAAGCAGCAAAAAGTTGTATTTTTAGCCTTGCTCTGACTCCAGTGGCACTCCACCAGCGTGCTGTGACTAACACACACCTAACTCTCTAGTTTAAAAACTACAAGTTACCACAGCAGCAGAATTCAATTATCTTCTATGCACCAGCTATAGGTAAGACATTTGAAGTACACACCATCCATCTCGTATATCTCACCACTACCCAGGAAATTCAGTGACGTTCCTGTGCTATAGAAAAGGATACTGAAGGAAAAAAATAGATTTGGAAAGTAATCAAGTTAACAGAGTCACTAAGAGGACAAGCTGGTATTCAACTGGTGAGCAAAGAGAGCAAGAATAGATGTTGCTATCCTAAATTCCTCTATCTTTCTAAGTTTATGTGGACAAGTTTCAGAGGACAGAGGTACCAAAATGTTAAACATCACAATGTAATTAAAAAAAAATAGAAACAAGCCAGGTGCTGGCGGCTCATGCCTGTAATCCTAGCTACTCAGGAGGCTGAGATCTGAGGATCATGGTTCAAAGCCAGCCCAGGCAAGAAAGTCAATGAGACTGTTATTTCCAATAAACCACCAAAAAACTGGAAGTGGTACTGTGGCTCAAGTAGTAGAGTGCTAGCCTTGAGCTGAAAAGCTGAGGGACAGCACCTAGGCCCAGAGTTCAAGCCCCACAACTGACCAAAAAAAGAAAAAAAGTCTTAAGCAAAGACTTTTTTTTTTTAAAGCTATACATTTCTGGTAAAAATACACTATTACACTATAATATAAACCATATAATATCATATATTCCTTTTTCATATAATTTTTGTATAGATTTTTATGTATAGTTTACATTAAAGCAATATATAATAGTATTAAATAATTAAAAGGCATATAATGTATTTTAGTAAAATCAAACACTAAAGTAAAAATAATGAACAGATTAATCTAGAAATTCTCTTTCAAAAGTAACAAAACACTTTAAAATCTGCTACTTAATCAATTTATAGATAGTTTACATTCAATTTTTAAAAATTTTTTAATAAATTTGAGCCAGGTACTGGTGTTTCAAATTTATAATTCTAGCTACCCAGACCTGAGGTTCACAATTTGAAGCCATCTCAAGCAAGAAAGTTAGTGAAACTCTTACTTTCAATCAACCACCAAAAAGCTGTAAGTGGAGCTGTGGCTCAAGTGGTAGAGCATGAAAGAAAGAAAAAGGAAAGAGAGAGAGGGAGAGAGGGAGAGAGAAGGAGAGAGGGAGAGAGGGAAAGAGAGCTAGAGGGAGTGAGGGAGAGGGAGAGGGAGGAAGGAGAAAAGTAAAGAGAAAAAAAGAACCCATATTCCAAATTCTAACACATAAATTTACAGTAATATTTTAGAATTTGAAATTGAATTATTCTAGAGTTAATCACCTAGTATTGCACATATATTGTATTTTTAAAGTTAACTCAAATTGTAAAATAGTCAAATCAGTAAAATATTCAAATTGAGGGTAGCACCTATAGTTTAGTATATAAATTTTAAGTGGAAATAAAAAGCATGGCTTACTAGGACTTTCCAAGATTCTTATTAAATCTTTGGAGATGATATAAATTAAGTATTCAAATAGAGGGTAGATTTTCTTTCTAAAACTCTCCTTTACACACCACCTAAGAGAATTAATATTAAAAGGATAGTCAAAGTACCCCAGTACAAAGGTCAAGGGCCCTATCTAATTATTTTTAAGGAAACATTTTCATGCCTTAGAGAGTGGTTAGAGAGTAGAGGAAAATAATTCAGAAAGAAGTGTTCCACACTCCTTATTTAAGTAGGAAGGTGAACAAACACAAGGTGGCAATTTAAAAGCAACACGGTAATAAAGCAGGTGTAAGTAATGCTATCCCTCCACCTTACACAACCAGGAGAAGGAACACATTTCCATAAAAGTTATAGAGCTGTCAAGGGGACACCAAACGCTACCTTCTTATGGCTGTTATGTTTTATCTATAAAGCTTGGATACTGTGTTACTATGGTGATTTAATACTATGTTTTAAAGGGGGATTATATGATTAGTTTTAACAAGGTTGAGAACTGAAGATGTGTGAGAAACAGGATTCTGGTTCACATAATTAAAGTGATGTGGAGGAAAGTAGGCCTCAATGGGGGAGGAAAAACTTGTTTTTATTAAAATATTTAAAGCAGCAGGTCTAGATGAGTCTTACAATTAACATCACTTAAGAAATACTACTATGTGATAACACCAAATATAACTGTTCATTATTTTTACCTTAGGGTTTGATTTCACTAGAATGCATAAAATGAATATTCTTCTGAGAAGCATCCTAGAAAAGAAGGCTATTGATAGAACTAGATGAAAAGAAAACACGCAAGATCTCTAGGAAAAAGACATATAACTTGTAAATTGGCTGTCATTAATTTCCTACTATCTTTAAATTGCCATTAAAAATGCTGAAAACTGCTGGGTACTAGTGGCTCACACCCATAATCCTAGCTATTCAAAAGCATGCAATCTGAAGATTGCGGTTTGAAGCCAGACCGAGCAGTCAAGCACATGAGACTATTATCTGCAATAACCACCAAAAAGCCAGAAGTGGCTCTGTGGCTCAAGTGGTAGAACACTAGCCTTCAGAGAAAAAGCTCAGTGACAGCACCCAGACCCTGTTCAGGACCAAGAATTTGCAAAAACATACCCCAAAAAAAGAAAGAAGAAAAGCAGTTTTCACTGCTTTTTAGGTACAAGAAAAAAAAAAAAAAAGCTTTTTAGGCTAAAAGAAAAATTCATTACTTACGTACTAGGTTTGAAGCCCAACTCAGTCACTGCTAACTAAGCCTTCAGTTAGCAAGTTACTTAAAGCCAATAAGCACCTTTGTTTCTTCACCTAGAATACCATACAACTCAAAGAGTTATTTGGAGAATATTTGGAGTTATTTGGGATAGCACTTAGTATAAAGGACAGAATCATGAATAAAAGGAAGGTAAGCTGTTGCTAAGGGAATAAAAATGTAAAACTCACATTAAAATCATGCATTTACATAGAATCTTCCTGATAGTGCTTTATAGTCTCCATGAATGTCTTGTTTTGTTTTGTTGGTCATGGGGCCTGAACTCTGGGCCTGAGCACTGTCCCTCAGCAATTCTGCTCAAGGCTAGCGCCCTATCACTTGAGCCAAAGGCGCCACTTCCAGCTTTTTCTGCTTATGTGGTGCTGAGGAATTGAACCCAGGGCCTCATGCATGCAAGGCAAGCACTCTACCACTGAGCCACCTTCCCAGCCCCTCCATGAATGTCTTATCTGTGCATTTTTTCCAAGTAAGGATAGTCCTCTGGAAGACCAAGTGACCCACATTGGCATTAAAGTGAAAAACTTGGGGAGCAGAGGCAACGCCACAGTTTAGAAGACACTCTTTTTTTTTTTTTTTGGTCTGTTGTTAGGCTTAAATTTAGGGCCTGGGTGCCATCCCTGAGCTTCTGCACTCAAAGCTAAGCTCTACTACTTTGAGCCACAGCACCAGTTCAGGTTTTCTGGTGGTTAATTGGAGATAATAGTCTCGAAGACTTTACTGCCCAGGCTGGCTTGAACCACAATCCTCAGATCTCAGCTTCCTGAGTGGCGGATGACAGGCGCAAGCCCCCGGTGCCCCCCTAAAAAGCACTTCTTATTCTTAATGGACTCCTCCTGAAGTATAAGTCATCAAAAACACAAAATCAATTGACTTCAAAATACTTTCCCTTGGCCATTTTTCAATAAACTAAGTGAAACAAAGGTTAACTTGAAGTGTCCTGAATCTATGAGTAATCTGTCATTCTTTCTCTATCTGCTGAGGTAGTCTATGGGAAAGTGTACTGTATCCCATAATATGAGCCTGCTTCCTGAAAGGTTGTAGTTTTTGGCCTTCCTTACAATATCAGCATCCATAATTTCTATAGGAATCAGAGATTCTATAATGATTAAATTAAAAGGAATTTTAGAAACCACTTCAACCAATTCCCATTTTTCATAGATGGGAAAATTGAGATGTAGGGTTTTGTCTTCCAAAGTAATTAGGACTAGGACAAAAACCTGGCCAAACCTTTAGTTCAATGACTTTCCTTCCAACATGTTGTACTAAACCCAAAGGAAACTTCCCTAAGAAGTTTCACTTCAGTTTAAGGAACCAAAAGTATGTGAAGAATGCAGATGGGCTGTCTCAGCAAAATTGATTGTACTTCTTGCCAAGCTACAGAAATCAAACTTGAGTGTCATCAGAAATAAACCAAGAGATCAGGTTCCAATCCAGATAATCCTTAGATGTTTTTCCCATGCTTAGTTAGGCACATATGGGATATAAGGGAGAAAAGTAATGACTATTCAAACCAAGACTAGACTTCATGCTGCCTCAAAAATGTCTGTTTGCTATGGAAAGTTACCCAGCAGCATTTGGCTTAGTCTTGAAGTTGTTTACAGGTCCACTGTATGAACAGCCTGGCATATGTGGATAGGGAGTTTGGGTCTAATCTTCTAGTGAGAAATGAAATTTTATATGTCAGTCTCATGTTAAGCTTAACCATTTTGCAAAATGAGCTCCAATAATACAAGTACTACAACGTGCTGGATATGCAATGCTGATATTATAAATGGAGATCCTGCCCTTGTAAAG